AAGAGTCCCCATAATAAGTGATGTACAATTGAAGATCTGTTCTGTTCTCTTCTATCCCACTATTTATTTCTCTGTCCTTGAACCAACACAGCTCAGTTCAAAGAACAGGATTGACCAACTTGCTCCAATTCACACCTAAACAGCCAATAGAATACATGTTCTTTCCCTGTGCACATAGGATATTAACCAAAATAAACCAAATCCTGGGCTATAAAGTTGTAAGAAATTTCAAAGGATTGAAATCATACAATTGTGTTCTCTCAGCATTAATTTAAAACTCAATAATAATAAAACTACTAGAAAGCCTCCAAGTGGCAATTAAACATTACACTTGTAAATAATCAATGGGTCAAAGAGTAAATCACAAGGGAAGTTGCAAAATATTTTGAAGTGAACGGTAGTGAAAATATGGGATGCAGGTAAAGCAATGCTTAAAGGAAAATTTATAGCTTTAGAAGAATGACTAAAAATTAGTATTCTAAGTTACAACTCAAGAAGCTAGAAAAAAAATTAACAAATCCAAGCCAAAGGTGAAAAAAAAATAAGATCAGAAATTAATAAAGGCAAAAATTAGAAAAAACATAAAGCCAAAAAATGTTATTTGAAAAGATTAATAGAAATGATAAGCCCCTGGAAATGGGTTAGAACTCCCCCCCCCACACACACACACACACAAATTCTAATATCAGGAACGAAAAAGAGGACATCACCAGAGGTATTACAAACATTATAAACATAGCAAAAGGTTAGTATGAGCAACTTGGACAGTAAATTTGAAATTTAAATGAAATGCAATTTATCAAAACTGATACTAAATTAAATTTGTTTAATCCATAATTTAAAATTTTCTTACAAAGAAAATTCTAGGTTAGATGGTTTCATTCACAAATTCTTCTAAACAGTTGAAGAAATATCACCAACTGTATACAATCTGTCCAAAGAATCGAAAACGATGGAGCCTTTCCCAGCTTATTTTGTAAGGCCAACATAACATTGACGCCTCCACAACCTGTCAAGAACATTAGAAGATATTAGGAAAGCGACCAAACCTGCCTTGGTATCCTCCACCCATAGAACAGAAAATAACAACATCTATCTCCTCTGGCTGTTGAGAAGACTGAATCAGTTAATATGTGTAAAAAAAGCCTGTGTAGTAAGTACTCAGTAATTTTTAGCTGTTTTTGCAGAGCAGCCACAGAACTCTAAAATATGAGCGTGCACTGTCCTGCTCTCCTCAGTGCATAGAGCACCAGGACAGAGTCTGCCTCTGGTGTTTCTGACGAGCTCTTAGGCTTGGGGTCCCATGTGTTTTGTAGATGGGAATCTGGGACGTGCCCAAAGAGTGGCTGCAGGACGGGGCATAGCCCGATTGTGAACCTGAGTTTGAGGCCAGGGCCCCTGGAAGGCAGCTCTGGCAGGAGAGGCATCTATGCCTGTGGATCCCTGTTAACACCCCCAACCCCACCCCACCTCATATGTGGGAAGTGTGGCCTCAGGGAACTTCTGGTCCCATTCACAGCCTCAGTTTCCTCCCAGACAAAATGAGACCTGGCTCTCTGTTTCCTCTGTCCCAGGGTGTAGAAGGGTGTAGAAAGACTTCCTGGGCTCTGACCTGCAAGTGACAGATCACTGGGTGTAACCCATAGTGACAGGGCCCCTTCAGCCCAGGAGCTGCTGGCTTGAGACCAGCCATGCCTGACACCAGGGGATGTCTTCCTGGACATCCCAGATCAGATAAAGCCGCGTCCCAGTATATTCAATACTGAATATTGACAGCAGTAAGGAACTGAACAGGCCCAAGTATTTATCAAGAGGGGGGCAGTTAAACCCCCCTGTAGTACCCGGACCACAGCCTTATTCAGACCTTTAAAAGCTTAGGCCCTGCTAGAATCACTTGAGGTCTACCTGTCCCTTGAGGCTGGAGGAGGCTGGCCTGACATGCCCAGCTCAATCCCAGCCCCCAAGTCCCCCTAGGGTACTTGGACATTCTTCCAATTACCTTGGCCCTGATTTTCTGCCTCTTAGAATTCTTGCTCTCCACTCTTATCTTGCATCTGACCCTTCTGTCTGCTCCGGGTTGACCCAGTGTAGAACTTGGTCCCTGGTTGGTGAGGAGCCTTCTGAGTGCTCACAGCCCAAATTGACTTGAGCATAAGGAGGTCTGTGGAATTGTGTGACTGAAATGTCCAGGAGAAGTGCCCTGGTTTCAGGCATGGCTGGATCCAGGAGTCTCCCTTTCCATCTGGGGTCTGTCTGTGCTCCTTCCTGATGGCTTTGCTCTCAGGCTACTTGTCCCCAAGTGATTGCAGACTAATGCCTCTGGCTTCCTGTCTACCCCCCCCCCCACCTACACACACATAATTCAGCCTTTCCCAGTGGAAAAAAGCCACTCTTTCTAGGTAGCTCCTGGGGGTGCCCTGCGACCAGCAGCCTCTGTCCTTTACCCATCACTGAAGCAGCTATGGCTGGAAGCGGGATAGGTGCCCCATGGTCAGGCCTGGTCACAAACCTGGCCCTGGAGGGGGCACAGGGGCCCTTCAGTGGCCCCATCAGCGTGGATGAGGGCGGGGCTACCGTGGGAGGTGACAGGAGAAGGGTCCTATCCTGGCTTTCTGTAGAGACCTGCTCAAGGCTATATTATATGGCTCCCAGTTTGGGGAGCAGAAGGTCTATAACTCAGTGATGCCAGGTTTGTAAAGTGAGTGGCAATACCTTCCTCAGTGTGGTCATGGGTCCCTGCCAGGTCCCCCTACAGCCATTCAGGAGGACAGACACACGCAGGATGGTGTCCCCTACCCCAGAGCAAATGCTCGACCCCCAGAACACCCTGTCTACACCACTGCTGCCTCTTCCTGGCCTAGCCCTAGAGGCAAGTGAATGGCCGGAGTTTGCAGAGGTGTGGACTGGAGTGAAGGGGTGTGGAGAGGTGTGGACATGTGGGGTTCATGTAAGAAAGCTGAATGCAGGGCTTGCTGTGGGTGGAGGGGAAGGTTCGGGTCATATTCTTGGTGGGAATCTGGGTCTCTGGATCAGGTCCCAGCCTTTCAGGCTGTGAATCTAGTCATGAAGTAATACATGCTCATGTGATAAATTCTGGAAAATATAGAAAAAAACATAAAGAATTTGCACAAAAGATTCATAATTGGGCTCACAGGCAATCATTGTAA